GCTTCTGTCTGAGTAAAGAGACTTTGAAATCTCTCACAGTTTCTGTGTATATCTTGAGACACATCCCCATACTGTGTAACAAGTAAAAAATTTATTTTGCCTAGTTGAAGTATATATACGAATTCGATATAAGAAGCCCTTTTAGCCATATCTCACTGCTTAGAGATTCAAATCAAATGTACTTGGTACAGTGACCATGCTCTCAAATTCATGATTATTTACGATTACAACATACACATCACTACAATGCTTCCCTCGAGGAACAAGAATCAAACCCTAGACTTAGACCTAATGTCTAATCATACCATAATAATTCACTCATTATCTGTTTAGATTCGATGAAAACCTTAGATAAACAAACTATCCAAGCTCCAAACTTTTTCAAACACCATTTCCACAACCAGAACCATCGATCTTCCCCTTCTTCACCCACACCATAGTCCTTGTTGTTGTTGCCCTCATAACACGTGTAGACGACCAATCATGTCTCTGGCTTTTTTTATCATAACCTTGTCCATTATGCGATCTCTCAGGTCCCTTAAAGTCTCTTCCTTCTTCCTCTACTCTCTTCTTGATCCAGAGATCCTGAAACTGAGTTTCTTCAGCAATCGAATCCTTGGCAACAATCTCTTTCACAGGCTTGTTGTTCTCCTCCTCCCTCGGTATGTAAACCTTCGATTCACATTTGACGATTTTCTTCTTAGACAATTTCTTCTTTTTCTCCCTCGAATCTCCTTCTCCTCCATTTTCACAATTGCAGAGACAACGCAATTTGGTTCCTCTTTCCAACGATTCACTCCACAAGGCCTAATAAAACACCTCCCCTTGAACCCTTTTCCTCGAGCTTCACACTTGGCACTTCAATGGACTTTTCTACTACCTTCTTCATTACGTCTTCTTCTTCTTCTCTCCTTCGTTGTCCATTAACCTGCTGCTTCACTTCTCTCTCTACTAAGTCTCCTTTCTTCAGTTTACGATCTTTCTCTCTCATCCAACGCTCCTGAAGCTGAAGAATGGATACGTAATTAGGTGGACTCGAAGCGACACTATTCATCTTCCCATCAATCTTCTTCTTCTCCATTGAATCTTCCTTTTTCCTTTGCTCAATTGTCACTCATCACTCATATAAAGCAACAAAACAAAAAGGGAAAAGAAAGAGACACCACTCACTCACAAGTCACCCAGTAAACAAACAGTAAGAGAGAAAGCTCATTGGGCTCATTGCTTTTATACAAACAAATAGACATGAAAATACTATTCAACAACAAAAACAAAAATGCGAAGAAATTTATTAGAAAGTGAAAAAAATTCAACAATGGTGGACACGCACGCAACGTTATCTTTACATACTTTTTTTTCTTCACAGTTTCGTTTTTTTTTTCTCCTTCAGATCCAATAAACAGCCGAATCCCCAAATTGATTGTTTCTCAAGATCATCCA